CACTTAAAAGAAAACAATTCAATAATTTTCTTGTAAAAAAGTTTTAAATAAAATATAGAAAACAATTGACCAATATTTCTAAATTAARATATTTGATTTATGTTCAAAGTTCAGATTTGCTTGTATAAACTATTAAACAAGAGTTTTGTTTTCTGTTTTTTTAGCTATTCAAAAGAAGTTACAGCTGATTCACATATTGTATGTTAAATTTAAAGGGAAGAACAAAAAGCTTTGTATTTTCAGAATCTCTACATATTTTTATTTTACTTAAAGTAGACATATGTTTTTAAATCCTTCCTTTTTACATTTAAATCATCCAGTTGTGTCRTTTATAAAGTGAAACTGCAATGCTTTGGTCTGAATTCCTTTTTATTCTAACTTCACCAGCCCCTCTTTCACTCGTTTTCTGGTGTGTGGCTCAAAGCCGCTGGTTTTGTTACTGTTCCCTTTCAGACACTTCAAGCCCCGCCCCCCACTCCAGCTTCCAGACTGGTCCACTCCGGTTTGAGCGAGGGCAGACTTGCAGAAACATTTTATTTACAATTTAATTAAAAGATGTCAACAACAGAAGACTTGTCCATCCAGCCTTACATGTTGGACCCAGAGTCTGAGGAGAATTAAGACTAGGAAATCGTAGTTGGTAAGTCCAGGCCTTATTTGGCAGTTCTGTCGCAGACAGTTTGATGTAATAGACTCAGAAAATGTCAAGAAAACTGAACGGGCTGAAAAATATGACCAAAACAGAATATAAAYATTTCTTTGCAGCATCAGGAGAGTAACTTTTCAMCCTCCTAGAGACTCCCAAGGACACAACAAAATGTATTTAACAACTAAAAAAATGAATTTTGCATATGTCCCGTTTCTACAAATTTGGTCAATAAAAAGAACTGCTTTATTTAACAGCTCCAACACATAAAAGCTAATCTCACACACTCACATACACACTAATAAACCCCACATTTAAAGAGAGTCGTGGTGATGTCAGTTTGTCGTGACAAATGCACGGGCAGCAGCTGAGAACTGGGGCAGCTTTCTGCTGCGACTGCTGTGTTCATCTGAGAAGGAAACAAGCAGCAGTGAGCAGTCCTCATTACTATCCATATTCTAGCAGAGCTCCTCAAAACTATGGTTTTAAAATTACATGGAAGCCTACTTTCATCAAAAAGACCTCCCTTCCAACACTTTCTAACATATGCAATAGCAGCAGCTCTGAATGTAGACATTTTTTAGGGGAGGAAAACTCTAAAGCCCTGCCTTTTGCTTACATCTTCATAGAGCTGATTGCTCTCTGGCTTACACATTCTCCATCTTTCCAAAAGTTGCTTTCAGCTTTGAACTAGACTGCAAATGGGGACTTGCGTGCATGAGCATTTACTGAATATTCCTATACGTACAACTTTTGCCCTAATTGCACGTCATGATATAGCACAATAGTAAAAAAAAAAAAAGAGGGGCAGAATCTGAGAGTTTTTCTTTCTTTTTCTTCTTGGTATAGAGTGCTCTGCAGATAATTAAGTTCCTGGAAATGTGAAGAATAAAATACATCTGATGTGTATATGAAGCTGTGGAGCAGAATCTGTGTGAGCAGGAGACACGTGCCGTAAATCAGGAAAATGCTGGCTCAATCAGGGTGAAGCATGGGTCATAATATGTTTGTCCTTCTCTTGAGATCATCCATTTGTCAAATGACAGCCATTGCCCTTGCTATAAAAATGAAACACATTTCTTTTTTCCCCKAACATTTCTGTGGCAGCTGCCAGGGCAATTGAATTCTTTTCACGTGCAAGAATTTTGTCATGTTTTCCAACAGAATAACAGTAATTCCAAAAAAAATAAAAAAACAATAGTAATAATCAATTTTCTTGGTAAGAAGACATTACAATATTGACTAAGCAATCCTGGTCCTCGAGTGCTGCTATCCTGCATGCTTTACTTGTTTTCCTGCTTCTTTACACCTGATTCAGTGAATGAATTGTCTCTTCCAAGTTCTGCAGAACCTTGGTAATCACCCATTCATGCAATTCAGGTGTGTTTGGAGCAGAGAAACAAGTAAAACGTGCAGGATAGCGGTACACAAGGACCAGTTTTGCCCAGCCCTGGACTAAACAGTGTAAATTTATTTTTGACATGCCTGTGTTCTTGCTGTAATTTTATCTCTGAAACCTGAGATAAAATATGGTTAACATGAAATACAAAAGAATGTTGGAAAAAAAATACAAGATAAAAATTTTGCCACGGTTATTTCATGTAACCTTAATGGTCTTAAACCAGTCAGTTGACACATTCCTAGTGGCAGAAAGTTTGTTTCAGGAACATTTTACCTGTACTTCGACAACAGATTGAACAAATTAAATGTGTGACATGAAGCTTACGAAAAGGGAAGAAAAGTCACTACTTCTGCAGAAAGCGTGGACCATTCAGTGTTTGGAACAAGTTGTATGTCTGAGATGGAGATTGATTCTGGGATTACAGCCATTTGTTGAGACAGAAAGTTAAAAAACAAAAACTGATARTGAAATTTAACTTTGTACAACTCTGAAGTCTTAAGAGCTTTAGCTGTGGGAAGAGTTCCTCCCAGGAATAATGTAAAATGTTCATTATGTTAAATAGCTTCCACAGTATCTTGAAAGAAACCTTTTTGCTATTTGGATTTACTTCATTTGGTACTTTTATAGCTGCTGAAATAGTTTTAAATGCATTGTAACATAGCTTTTTGTGTTTGGGATATGTCTTTATCAAAATTATTTGTGTTTGTACAAGAGTCTGATTTGACATTTTTAGGCTTACATGTGAGCTTAAAGCTTAACTAAAATAAATATTATGTTGTGTAACACACAGATGATAAATAAAACCA